TTGGCAGGCTTTTTTCTCATACAGCTATGTTAGGATAGACAGGATCTCCTAAAGCTCACTGCCTGATTCTGACCCCATTTCAGGAGTCTGCAATAAATGACGGCATACACAACACTACAATTTTCAGAACGCTCCACTGTGAGTGCTTCTCCCTTCTCTGCCCATGCCAATGGTAAACTTTATTTTTGGAGACTGTATTTCCTAAGACTCAATATGTTGTGACTGCCTTCTCCTACCCTCAAACACAAATAAACACAAAGAAAACAGTAAGATTCGCTACCCAAGAGTTACAAACAGAAACCTAAAGGTAATGATTGGGAAGTCAAGGATGGAACACCACTCTGGCTCAAATTGCAGCTGCTCAATTTTCTGCTCTAAGTGCACCCTGCATTTCTGAACCAAGGGCTGACTACAGAGAAAGATGCAGGGCCTCAGTGTCCACCCTCAGGGCAGGCTCAGCGCTGCTGAGGAGGTCTCCAGGGCAGTTCTACCAGCCTTGCAGTGCGGGGAAATCTTGGAAATAAGCCGACTCGAAGTCCTAGTTTCTGGTAATGGGAGTGTGCAATGTTTTATGCCTTTTTAAGTATTTTGGTGAACAGTGGAGGCTACTTATCAGATGCTTGATTAAAAAATGAAGTTCAGTGATGGGAAGGAGGTTGTGACTGAAAAGAATGATAGAACCCCAGTGTTGCAGGGACTTCAGAGGCCATTCCGTTCAAACTCTCCACCTTCACCATAACACAGTAAGTGGTCACCAAGCCCAGCCTGAATCCCACTAGTGATCTACCACTACCCAGTGAAAGAGGTCACTTTGTTTTTACAGAGTTCTAATTTTTATAATGTTTTATCTTATACTGAGGCAACACTTAACTCTCTGCACTTACTGTCTATGCATCTTTAGTTCCCTTCTCTGGAGCCACAGAGGATAATCCTAGTGTTTCTTTCAAGAGGTAGACATTTCTTCCAAGAGATAGCTCCTCCAAAACAATAGTATCAAATCCACCTCCCAAGTTGTCTTTTCCCGTTGTTCCGAATGATGTACTAGCATAATTTAACTAAATCTATATAAACACACTATGCTAGCTATTCAATACTCTCAAACGCAAGAGTATCATTTGCAACAACAGTAAATATACTGTTGGTCAGCACCCCTATTTACAAAACAGAAAACAGAATATCTGCAATCTACCACATGCATTCTTTTCCACAGCTCCAGTAACCCCTGATTAATGACCTCCACTTGCAAAGGAGGCTACTTACCTTAACCATGAAATAATGAATGCTATTGATCCAACAAGCTACTGCTATAGAATGTTATTGATCTCCCAATCTTTGGTTAAAATGGTCCTCATTTAGCAATTTCACTGTTGGAAACACCTGGAGCAAAGCCCGCTCATAATTAAAGACTTTGGGGGAGTTAAAGTGAGCGGTGATAGACAGAGATCTCAGCTTTCTGCCATTTATTCTTGCTTCTGAGCTATTGTTTGTGTCGGAAGGGATATTGATTTTCTATAAAAATAAGAAAACAAGAGGCACCACGGGGCCGCAGAAGGTCAGTTCGGGCTGGAAAAGGAGGGGGAAGGTTTAGCACTCTATCTCTGTCACTTGCCTTCCAAGAGAAAGGAATATTTTCTTTCCTGTAAAATCCACCTCTAATACATCACCACAGGAAGGCTCCTGACTGCAACCTCAGGCCATCACCAAACCAATTCACTTATGAAAGAAAAGAAGCTAAACCATATTCAAAGAGAACATGCGAATGATGTGTTAGTGGAGAATAGAGTAAAAATTAGGCTATGAATCACCTAATTGATAACTGCTATATAGGCAATCTGAATAAAGATCAGTAGAAAGTAACTTTACAAATGAGTTATTCCACTTTAGAATGGAACACACGTGCACAAAAAATTATTAAAATTATCACTGATCTTTCTGCAGGCATAAGAACACTATTACATCATAACCAATTTTAGTTCCTCAGAACCCAAGGGATTGGTTGGCGTAGAACAGAAGAACAGAAAGAGAAAAAGCAAAAAGAAGTATTGGTTATACTTAAAAAGACTCCAGGTTTCGTTAGCAGAATGAATTTAAGGAAATTAGAAATAAATTCCTCTAATTGAGACATACATTTTCAAACCTAAAGCACCTACTACATACTTTTTATAAGAACTCTATGCACTGGCTAGGCTAAGCTAAATGATCAATTCATCCTAATGATTTTACAAGTTGGATCATATATACTGACAACCCTCAACACCGATGAAAAGTAAAGTTCTACACTTTGATCTATGAATAAACTGATACATCCAAGCAAATGTATGAAAAGAGTAACCAAGAGGATCCTTGGAAGTTCTTTTAATGCAGAAAAACTAAAAAAATTTTGACGGAATCAACTCACCACAACAGTATAATATCCAAATCATACACCATTACCTACTTAAACACACTCTAATGCTACTCCTGCTTATAAGGTGTGCTTAATAATTGAGGGTAAAAGAGTTTTAGGTCCACTTTACTGTTGAGAGGCTGAACATAATGTGCATATTATTAAAGAATAAGTAAGAATTACCCCTCTTTCCTCATCGAATAGATTTAGGGGGAAAAATAGAAAGCACTTCTGTTTGTAACTACAGATGAATCATCGTAATCAAGGCAAATTTAAGACTCCTAAATAATCAGATTCTAAAGAACTTTTCTTTTTCTCTTTCTGCTGCTGCTCTACTCATTACTTCCTCCTAGCCAGCTGCAAGGACTTTGGCATCCACATTATTGGAAAAAACTCTGAAGTCATAGACCAGGGAGGTAGTCCAAGGGGAGAAAAAAGGTCCCCTCAATTTGAGAAAAGAGTAAGAAATTCCATAAGAATCGTTGCCTACTTCAATTTACCCAGGCTCTCAGGATCTATAACTAGAACGTATGTTATCACAGCCTGCCTGTAATGTGCAATAGACTGAGTAAGATGGGACCAAAAGTCCAAAGTGTCTCACTGCTAGATTATAGGCTCTGCATTTGGAACCAGACATGGGCTATTACCCGACAGCAGACAGAGTTACCAGTCTCTCTCACTCACACGTTTGTGTCATAATTTAATGAGAAATCCTTGGGAAGAAATATACACAAGCTACCACCCCAAAAAGCTATAAGCTATCCTTAAAATTGCCATTCTCAACAGTTAAGGTTATTATTTGGTATGTGTGCTCAATATTGAAACAACCTTGACCACCTCAACTGAGGGTTTCAACACTGTGAAAGGCTACCAGTTGACTAAGTATTGCTTGTTTAATTAAAAATAGCATGATGAGGGAAAAATATATTTTTTTTAAGATTTTATTTTTATTTATTTTTAGAGAGAGGGGGAGGAAGGGAGACATGGAGAGAAACATCGATCGGTTGCCTCTCGCACGCTCCAACTGGGAACCTGGCCCACAACCCAGGCACATGCCCTGGCCAGGAATAGAACCAGCGACCTTTCAGTTCACGGGCTGGCGCTCAATCCACTGAGCCACAACAGCCAGGGCAGGGAAAAAATCTTTATAATCTAAAAATTGGATAAATAGGCCTTGGAACATACATTAGAGGAAAATTTAAAAAAAAAAAAAATTATAAGCCTACCTAGTTGTGCCGCTGGATTAAAAACCACCCATGAAAGGAACAGGCATACAGACCTACAAAGCTTTTCCTGTTACTGACATAGCCTCACCTCAGAGTTGCCAAGATTTGTCTTTGTTTTTCAGGCAAACTTCCAAAGCAAAGTCCTAAGGTCATACCTCCTAAGGCTGTAGAAGATGAGAGAAAAAAAGCCACAGAAAAGGCAAAGTTGAAAGGTGGGAAACATGATGGTTAAGTACGGGCTTTGGAACTAGGCGTGATTTCCAGTTTTGCAACCTTGGGAAAATCATCTAACCACTCTTAGCCTCCACTTCTTCTTCTATAAAATACAAATAGTAACAAATAATACCACAATACAGTGGAGTTGTGAACATTATATAAGAATGTATGTTATGCACAATAATATAGTGCCTGGCATACAGTGCTTCATAAATACTAACTAGTATTATCATTAATACAATACAATGGTTCTCAGTCACTCAACCCACCTATCAAGCACCTACGGAGGCATTTGGTTTGATACTATGAAGAGGTGGTGGGACAAATGGAGAAATTCCAAATACCTGCAAGGCATGGATGGTGCCTCACCACAAAGAACTGGCCATCTAAAACACCAGCAGCATCACCATTGGGAAACGGACCATATGTTACTATTAATAATAATATTAAAGTATCAAGCCGGGGAGTTTCCGTGATCCTAGAACTATCCGAAATGTAAAAAAAAAAAAAACAAAAAAACCCACACTGACGTTATAAACATGCACCCATTACAGACAAATTTTTCTGGCTCAATGACATTTGACGTAAGACTAATGGAACTCAGTATCGTCGGTTTCAAAGCCTTCCATGTATTTAGACCATTTGAATGTCACAGCCATAAAAAATAAACTCAATACAGTTAAACTATAAGCAGCAGAAAACGGAATCATAGCTCAGAAATATCTAAAGCCATGATTCTTAACAGGTGAAGGCAGTGCCAGGAACATTTACACACTCCATGCACCTGGCACCAGCATTTATAATACACACACACATATGCACCGGCCTCTGCTGAGACCCTGGTTCTAGAGAACAATACCTATGTATGAACTACATGGCATGAACGGCAGCAAACTTTTTAAAATAAAATTCTGGTTATGCATTTGGTGCACAAGTTTTAAACAATTTTTAGAAACAAATGTGTTTCCATTACATTATAGCTTTCTTGCATAGGGAGATAAAATCATGAATGTTCTTTAAAAACTAACCACTAGCTGATTGGTTAAAGGAGAGCTACAAAGTCAATATTACAGTGGCTGCCTTGAAAGAAAGTTGATTTCATCAACACTGTGGATTTGTACTTTGGGTCAAATTAATCAGGAAAATCTTTGTCTAAGTAAGAGAAAGCTCACCATTCTGACATGTTCTCATCAGAGCCCTGTTTTTGTTCATCTGCTTCACACTCCATCCTTTCTTTCCTTCCTGTTTTGCTTAGAAAAGTCCTATTTTCTGCTGATTCACACAATCCATGGCCTGCCGAGGTCCAGGGAGTATTCTCCTTCCAGCGTGACAAACGCTGCTTCTTAGCAGACTTGAACCTACACCCTCTCTCATAGCTCCAGTCTGATACCTTGAGCTTCTGCTGAAGGCTGGCAGCCACCTCTGATGTCACTCGCTTCACCTTCCGCCTGCGCCTGAGTGGTCGACAAGGTGCATTTTCAGTAAAGGAGTCAGATTCATGCCAAGAATGTTGCTTACTCTTAACAATGGTGTTTAGAGCTGGGTGCTGTTTGGCTACAACGGTGTCATCGGAGTCACTAAAATTGGTGACTGGGGCCATCTCTCGACAGTCCTTAATGGCCTCATCCAGACTGGACTCAGAGGCCTCACTGTAGCAGCAGGTATGCTCTGCCAGGTGAGTGAAGTCTGAACGGCGCTTCCGGCCTCTCCGTTTGCGAAGCTGCCGCCTCTGCTGCCGAGGGCTCAAGGCCATCTCTTCCCACAGCTCACCAAGCTTATTCTGTTCAGACGTCTGCTCCAAGGCCGAGGCTAAGTCATGTACCAGCTCATCCATGAGGCCACATCTGCCAAAAGAAGTTCAAAAAAAGAAGAGAGAGAGCCTGAATAGGTTCTGTTGTTTTAGAATACATTGACAAAATACTTCATGGCACTGCAGACTCCACCCTATCTAAAGGAAACAGTCATCCTTCATCTGGCCACACTTAGAATCCTACTCGATGCTCGCTCTAGCCACTGAAAACAGGTGTTGGCCCTTATTCAATGCCTGAAGTCAACATGTTTTTAAGCACAAAAACTCACCAGATGACAACTGGGATATTAGCAAAAAAAAAAAAAAAAAAAAAAAAAACCAAACTCAGGGGAATAAATTTGTCCCACTTTTCCCCAATTAAACTTATCACTAAATTACCTGACGATGAAATCCAAAAATAAATAAATGAATAAATAAGAAAATGTCTCATGAGACAGCAGCAGAAAAACACTCAACTTCAAAACCATGGATAAAGGACTGTTTTATGCTCTGAGGTCTCACTGATGAGAATGCTTGTGGAAGAGAACAGAAAGACAACTTTACTGACAAACTTTAAGGAAGACTGCTTGCAGTTTCAATGACCCAAGAATTTGCACTCTGAATGGGAAAAAAAAACCCCACCAAATTTACACCCATTCTGCTCCCAACTACCACCTGGAGGCTAGCTGGTAAAGAACCTCATAAGAGTCACATATTTTTTAATAATTAGCAACTTTTAAACTCTCCTCCTATCCTTCGAAAATTAAGTGATCATCCTAATCATGGCTTTTATGCTAGGCCATCACACAAAAACAGGATATAACTGAGGCTGCAATGACAGGGATGGGTGAAGTTCTTAACGTTTCTGCTAATGGCTTTCCTAAATTTCCCACTTTTCTACTCATTCATGCCAAACCCTTGTACTTCAGAGATCACTTCAGAGGCAAACCTTCAAAGGGATGCAAGTAGTAAACATCAATTTTCAAAATGCCCTTTTAAACGGAAATGTCTAATATAATTTATACAACACCTATTAAATACATATTAAATTAGCACTTTCTCTCCAGCCTTTGTTTTTCAAGACCATCATTAGAGCTTCAATCTCTGACTGGCGCCCCTCTCTGACTGAAATTCCATTCACGCAGTTTACAGTGTTTAAAGGACTTTCTAAAACCTATTTTCATGCTGTCTCAGTGCCAAGAACTCAAAGTCTGGAAAATAGTCCGCTGGCCTATCTGCCACATCGGTGACCGAAATGGAGACATTTAGTCCCCAAACTACCAACCAAACAAAACTATTCCAAGTGTCAAAAGCCAAAGATGTACAAAAAACGACTAGTTCCCTTTGGAAAATAAATAGTTTAAAATGCTCTGACTGGGGTTTGGGAGACAACTGTCCCTAAGACCAAAATAGTCTAAATCTCCTTCCCAAATAAAGTACTACTGCTTTAAAAACTCAGGCAGAACTGTACAAACTTTAATATGGAACTAAGTTACCAAACAACTCCCTGTGCAGAATCTCTGCCTGCCTCCGAGACTGTAATTCAAAAAGAAGGTGACAGAACCCTGGGATCCCCACACCTCCAGTCTCCGAGGCACAGTGCAAGGGGACCCTCAGGTCCAGGCAAGCACTAGGGGAGAGGAAAGGCTGTCTGACCCACGCAAAGGAAAAGGGGAAACTGGCAGGAAACTGGCAGAAAAGAGGCGCGAGGTCGCAGGGGGAAGAGACCTGGTTGGGGGCGGAGGGAAAGGCAGGGGGCGGAGGAAAGGCAGGAGGCAGCTTCTCGTTTGTGCTCACCCGGGGTAGGGGTCAGTCACACCAGGAGAGAAACTGCTATAAAGCAAGTTCTGGCGACCGAGCTCTCTCCGTGATCAGGTGTCGCAACTGGGCCACACGTGTGAAAGGAAAAAAGCGTGTTTCGAAAGACTCTCCCCAACGCCCCGACCCGCCCCCAGGACTAGGGCGACCACGGCTGTGGACACCAAGCCCTCGCGCTCTCACCGGCCCAAAAGAGCCAAAAAGAAGAGGAGGTGACTGTTGCCCAAGATACCGCCAGACTCTCGACCCACGGGACAGAGGCGATGGGCCCTAAAAAGCAAGGCCCGGTGACTCTCGCCCCTCCCGCCGGCCGCCGCGACAACATGAGGTCTCCGTCCACTCAGCCACGGCCCAGAGCCCCGCTGGCGCCGGCCCCCTGAACCCCGACCCTCTCAACCCACATCTCCCCCTCACCAGCTGTCGCAGACACCTCCAACAGCCACCGCTTTTGGGGCCGAGTCTCCCAGCCGAAGTGTCCTCCTCTGACCTCATTTCCGGTCTGGGCCGGAGCGGTGGGCTGGTGGTGGAGTGGGAGGTGCTGTCTGTGCGAGAGGGCCCGCCCCCGTCCAGCGCTTCCGGCCCGCTACCGCGCCTACTTCCGCCCCAAGTAGGGCGGGGCCAAGGGCAAGCCAGAGTACCCAAGTGGGAGCCCGAAGGGGCCGCAATTCGGGGCGGGGGGCGCAAAGCAGTGGGTTAGAGGCTTGTTTGGGCAAGGTCACCCCTATTCTAGCCTCATCTTGGTCAGGAAATTGGGCGCTACGGAGGATCTTAGATTTTGTCTTTTCTTGCTGACCTACATTTTTTCCTATAAAGTGTGTGTGAAGTTGCAAGGAAGAGGATCTTCATTTTAACCGTTTGAGGTGGTACAAGTTTTGTCACGGTAGCTTTGCAGTGAGTAACTCAGGGTATTAAAAATACACATGCCTTCAGCAACAAAACAAGTTAAGCGCTACTGGATTATAACTAAAGAATAAAAGAAGTATCTATGAGTACATACTGATACAAGGTCATGATATGAATAGTGATATGAATAAATTAGTAAGTGGAAAGAACAGTTAACTCTCCAGTGCAGAAGAATTCCAAATGATTTATGTAGATACTCCACCCTGAAGTGCAACTCCAGACTCCTTAAATATGGTCTGTGCATAGTCACTCCAAAGAGTACAGTAAGGGGGAAAATGAGTACCTCTATAGTAGAGAAACACAACCTCAACCAGGTGATCAAGGTTAACATCTACAGTGATAAATCATGCTGACAGTATGTGGACTACATACGATAAGAGTGGTATTTTATCTCTTTCCTGCCCAAACCCACAACCCCAGTCTGATCATTAAAAGGAAATCAGACAAACACCAATTGGGGAACACTGTATAGAATGCCTGACCAATATTCCTCAAAATTATCAAGGTCATCAAAGACAAGGACGGCCTGAGAAACTGTCACAGCTGAGAGGCGCCTAGGGCAACATGACAACTTAATGTAATGTGGTATCGCAGATGGGATACTAGAACAGCAAGAAGGACATTAGGTGAAAAGTAAAGAAATTTGGATAAAGTATGGACTTTAGTTAATAATAATATCTCACTATTGGTTCATTAATTGTGACAAATGTGCAATACTAATTTGCGCAGCTAAAGATGTTAATAATAGGGGAAAGTGGGTAAGGGCTATATAAGAATGATTTGTAGAGCCTTCATAATTTCTGCAGACCTAAAACAACTCTAAAATTAAAAGCTTATTTTAAAAATGCACAGGCCTGTTAACCCAGAAATTCAGTCTCTAGGAATTTTATTCTAAGCAAAAATTGGAAATGAACACCAAAATGTTAAATACAGGTAAATTTGTCTTTGCAGCATTGTGGAGGGAGAGGTGAGAAGACTAGAAAAAAGCCAGAAAGCCTACAACAGTGGTTACTTATCTAAATTATGGTACATCTATGGGATGGAATACCTCTGAACCCTTTAAAATTGTGGGAGAATATTTAATGACATGACCTCATCAATTTCTGATTGCATACATTTCTTCCGACTGTTATACTTCAATAAAACTGTCAGTTTAAAAATGTAGAGTATGACTCTAATCATGTATAAAGAAAATTAAATCCATACTTGCATAGGAATATGACCAGCATGACACACTACAGAGTCGTTCCATTATAAAAGACTGTATCTATGATCTGTTGCTTTTATGGATTTTCAGAATTTCCGTTAGGAGAAACTTAGTGTGAAAAGAATTAAGGTAGGAGGTTTGAATGACTGAGCTTTCGAGCCAGAGTGACTAAGGGTGTGGTGGGTGCCATTGGCACACTAGAGAAGACAAGAAGTGGGAAGATGATTAATTCCACTGCGGACATGCTGAATCTGTGGCTCCCCCAGGACAGACAGATGGAAATACTTCAAAGGTGTCCACAGCCATCAGCCTTCTTTTCTGCTTCAGTGAAGTTCTCCCCCACAAACCCTCTCGGCTTCCTTGGTGTCGGTGGCCTCTACCAGCACTGAAAGCACTCATATTTCTTGAAATCCAGCATTCATTTTCCGTTTTCTGCAAGACATCGCCACTTGATGACTCCACCAGCATCTCCATTTTAAGATGGGGGGAAAAAACAACTTTATTTTTTTTTCCACAATCCCTTTCAAATCTGCCCCTGCTCCATTGTTTGGAAAATGCCATCCCTATCCTGAAGTCTCACCCAGGTGAAAAGCTTCAAGGCCATTTTTAGTTCCTGCTTCTTCTTTATACCTCTTCGTCTAATTAAATGTCATGGATTCCACTTCTACAGTATTCTTGCCCCAAGCCTTCCTCTTTTTGCTTTCTCTCTACAATTGGCCTCATCTCGGCAGGCAGCCACTCTTCCGGATAGTACAGCTAGGCCAGGACGGTCAAGCTGCAACTCGTTGTGGGGAATGGGGAAGTGTCATAAAAGGGCTGCTCACCCTGACTTTGTGGAGGGTCCAGAAAGGAAAATTAGAATTTATGGAACACCAGTGTGCCAGGGACTGTCTGAGAAATGCATAGAAAATTAAGTTAGATGATAAAAGAGTATAGTTATACGTCATTTAATGATGGAGATACATTCTGAGAAAGGTGTCATTAGGCAATTCATCATTGTGCAAACATCACAGAGTGCACTTACACAAACCTAGATGCAACCGCCTACTACACACCTAGGCTATATAATGTAGCCTGTTGCTCAATTATAAACCTGTACAGCATGTTACTGTACTAAATACTGTAGGCAATTGTACCACATTGGTGTCTGTGTATCTAAACATATCTGAGCATAGAAAAGCTACAGTAAAAATATAGCACAAAAGATTTTTAAAATGGTACACCTATATAGGGAACTTACCATGAATGGAACTTATAGGGCTGGAAGTAGCTCTGGATAAGTGACTGAGTGGTGAGTGAATGTGGAGGCCTAGGACATGATCGGACGCTACTGGGCACTTTATAAACACAGTCCCACAAGCCCTCCCTTTGCTTCCTTTGGACAGGGTCAGAGATAGAACATTGAATCTGTCAATGCTGCTCCATGAGCAGGGATATGGGCTGGACTGACAGGAAATATCGAGGAGAAACTGGCTGGGAAAGGTGTAGATCATCATCATAGTAACTGTCAGGAGGGAGTGAAAGGTGGCCTGAGGATCAGTAGGAATAAGAAATCAAGATGGAGAGATCAAAATAGGGGATCACTATGGGGATGTGGTTTTGGCTATTGCATGTTGGAAAAGTGGTCAGATTAAAGAAAGGTGTGGTATTCGTAAAAATTTAGAAAAAAAGGCGCTTAACATGGAGAGGGAATAGAACTGAGGACTCAATGTTTGACACTGGAAATTTGATTTTGGTTCCATTAACCCTGTCTGGCACAATGGGCTCTCTGTGGCATTGAGCTGATGGAAGAAATAAAACTTGCCTATGTCTTACATCATATAACCTGAAAATATTTCCAAAGTACAGGGCAAGCTGGCTCCACACTACCATGGCAAGCTTTTACTAAGTGGCCGTGGTACTGACTACTTATTAAGGTAGCTCCTGTGGACCTGTGTCCTAGTACAGGGTCTTAGGTCCTCAACAAAGAATTTCCAGCAATGTACACTGAGCACCATGCCGCTGGATCTGGGAAGGATGTAGAGCCCCCTGAATATATAGATCTGGGAGGGGGAGGGCAGGGCAGGCTCCTCCGCGCTGAAACAGGTCGGTGGCTAACTGATTGGGATATAATCTGTGCACTCAAAACTGAAGTGCTCTGAGTTGAGAGGGAATACATTATCCAGCCCCATAGACACTGATCTTATCAGAGAAAAAAAATTCCTCCTGAACCACATATCCTGTTATTTCGTACAAAAAAAATTGAGATCCATTCTAATCTATGGTTCTATATATGTGCAGTCCGTGGTTGACTGTAATATCATTACGCAGAGCATGACTAGAGTAGTTAACATCTATTGAGCACTTAGTAGGTGCCAGACACTATCCTAAATATTAACATGGATTAACTCAGTGATCCTCTTGGACATCCTTTGAAGTAAGTTCTATTATCTCCATTTTACAGAAGAGAAAACTAAGGCACAGGGAGGTCAAATAGCTTGCTCAAGGATTTACAGCTGGTAGGTATGTAGCCAAGCAGAATGACTCCAGGGGCCTGCACTTAACCACTAACTTACAATGCATCTAAAATGAATGTGAGTGCTTACCACACTGAATGCATATAGCAATACATGTGCACATACATGATCTATATTGATTGTTAGACCAATGTGGATTATACAGAGATTCATACCCCCATTATTTATCGACAAAATCAGTCAATTAATCCTCAAAATTACCCTTTCATGTAAGTGCTATTGTCCTAACTTATAGAGAAGAGAAAACTTAAGCTTAGAGAGATGAAACAGAGTCATAGCTGGTCTGAAATGACTGATTAGAACTAGGCCCCCAACTCCAAAGTCAGATGCCCTTTTACCAGACTTATGCCCTCCCCTCCCCTTTTGGGAGGCGTTTCGCAGGTATTGCCTACACTGACATTCATGCATTTAACCAGGATATATTGGGTTGGCCAAAAATTTCATTTGGTTTCTTTTCATAAGATGGCTCTAGTAGCACTTAGTTGTCTTTAACTTCATTCGAAACAATTTTGTTAGATTGTATCGTGACAGCTGTCATATCAGTGTGCATTTTTTTAAAAAATGTATTAAAATTGGTGAACTTTTATGTAGCCATTTTAATATTGAAGATGGAAGGAAATACATGACATTTTTGGGACATTATGCTTTATTATTTCAACAAAGGTAAAAATGCAACTGAAATGCAAAAAAAAAAGATTTGTACAGTGTATGGAGAAGATACTGTGATTGATTGAATGTGTCAAAAGTGGTTTGCGAAGTTTTGTGCTAGAGATTTCTCGCTGGACAACACTCCATAGTCAGGTAGACTAGTTGAAGTTGATAGTCATCAAATCGAGACATTAATTGAGAACAATCAACATT